CACGCCCCGAGACACCCCTAGGACGCCCCCCCCGGCTGCGCGCCCCGGGGCTGGCCGGGCTCCGCGAGGGCCACCCCGGTTAGGCTGGAGAAAGGCGCAGGGAATTGTCCCCGGGCGGCTCCGGAGGGGTTTCGGGCGGGGTCACAGCCGACGGCTGGTCCCCGGGCTCCGCGCCCGAGCGGCGGGAAAGGCTGAGGCGGGGGGCGGGGAGGTGCAGGGGGAAGAGCCGGAACGGGAAAAATCCGTCGGGGGCGCGCAGAAGCGCGCGTAGACCCGTCGCCGGATCGATCGGCGCCGCAGCGGAGCCGGAGCGCGGAGATCGACGCCTGCCCGAGCTGCCAGGAAACTGCCGCTTTCAAACCCGCCGCAACCTCCTCCGCCTCCCTCTTCCCTTCCCCCCGCCCCCGCCCATTTCTCATCCAGAGCCCCGCCCCCTCCCGCCGCGCGGCGCCCGGCGCGCTGCCGTCACAGGCCCGGCGCTAGGGAGTGAGCCCCAGCGCTCTACTCCCTCGCCAGGGATTGGCTCCCGGCGGGCAGGGGGCGGACTCTCGCCGAGAACAAGAAGCGCCGATTGGTTGCTGGGAATGCAGGAGGCGGGCACTCAGATGACTGAAGTTTTAAGAGGGTGGAAAGAAGTTTGAAGAGTGAGGGAGGGCGAGGGGAGGAGCAGGGGAGTGGAACCGGCTCTAGATCGTGGGGCTGAGAGAGGCCCTTAGTGCTGAAGCCAAGATCAAACTGGCCAGAGAAGAGCGGCCGAAGTCCCCGAGGTGGGGGCGTGGCGGGTGGGCGGAGCCTGGGAGGCTGCGCCGGGCGCCCGGAGGAGCCGGCGGACTGGGCGGGGGGAGAGGACGTGCCGAGCCCGCTGCCTCAGGTGGTGGGGCCTCCAGGGTGGCCTGCTCCAGCCCGTCACTTACTCTAGCCCACGTTTCTTGTGCTTTCAGCAAATGTTATCCACACCCATTGAAGCGGGGCCTCCGGGGTAGTAGAGTCCTGCAACAGGGCTGTAACTGCAGGCAAATTCAACTCTGAGCTGCGGCGTCCTGGACTGAAAAGAGATAATTACACGCCTTCAAGTTGTGAAGATTACATGAGATGCATATAAAGTATCTGCATAGTACCTGTCAGAGGGTGGCTGCTACTTCACGTTTGGTACCTGAAGATGGTGAAATGACTTTGTTAACACAGACTGAGGGGCACCCCTAACGTGCACCCCTAACTCCGAAGGGTTCCAGCTGTCTGTGTGCACAAAGTATTCTCTCTATATAGTTAAAGAACTCTAATAGAGTGAAATATTGCAAAGTCTGGGGGCATGGACACCGTCAGTGGGTTCTCACCCTTGCTCTCACAATCGCAACACCTGGCTCAAGCTCCAGGTACAACACTGCAGGGTTCAGGGTTCGTGGTTCGTTTACAAAAGGTAATTAGGAAAAGGAAAGAGGCCATGAACAGTGACTGTCCTACCCCAGACAGTGTCTTCAGGGTCGTGTAGTCCAAACCAGAAGCTGCACATTCAAGATGGTGCTCTTTCTCCGAGAGCCTGGAATTCTTGGCACCCTGAGAAGCGGTGGACAGCTGGGAGGTTGGTCACAGGTGGCACTGCTGGAGCATGGCAGCATGCCAGAACCCAGACCATTTTACAGGTCTGTGTAGATGGCAGCCACAGGCCAGTGGCACAGCCGTGGATGAAGTTGAAGAGGCCTCTGGGAAAGTCTGTAGTCTCAGGGGAGAGTCAAGCTCAGTGTGTGTCCTAGAGTCTGTTCAAAGCTGAGTGGAGACTGCTTAACTTACTGAAGCCTTGCTCAAGACCCCTCCCCACCCTTATACCCCCATCAAAGGAGCCGCCTCTCAAACCTGATTGGTCCGTTTTCCAAAACAGCTGTTTCCAAGACTTAATTGGTGCTGGTACAAGCTGGGAGTTGACTGGCGCCAGCTCAGACCTGGTTCACTTTCAAAGTCAGCTCAGGATTCAAAACCAAAACCCACTAAGGCATCCAACCTGCCTGGTACTGTCTCCTGCTGACATGGCAGGTGGGCTCTGCTGTGTGACACCCGCCAGGTTTAAACCTGAACCTGATTGTGCATCTTCAAAACTACCGAGTATCTTTTCTTTTCTTTTTTTTTTTTTTTTTCTAAAACCCACACTGAACTGTATGGGCGGGGGCGGGGCAGCGCAGTGTACACCATCAAGCCGAGCTGCTGTGGTGCAATCCAAGCTGATGCCTTCAGCTGGGGACACATCCTTGCAGAAAACCAGGACCTGTGGGGGTTACTCTTATAAGAGAAGAAAGGATAATCATTTCCCAGTAAAATTCCCGGAAGTTACTCATCCCCTTGTAAGTGCCCACCAGACATAGTTGGTCGGAAGCTGAGGCCCCAAAGCTTGACTCAAGTCTAAGGCATCTTCTCCCATAGAACCAAAGGAAAGAGGTTCTGAAACAGGTCCCAGAAAACTGGGTCAAAGAAGAAAATCAAAGTAAAAAAAAACAAGTGCCATTGTCAGCCTGCCCACATGCCTCTTACCCACATGTCCCTTCCAAGTGTCTCTCCATGTCTCTCCTCCACATGCCTCCTTCCCTGTCCCCAAGACAGTGGCGCAAGTCCAAAGCCAAGAAGCAAACACCATTCTCCAAGCGCCTCTTCCTGGGCCCACCTACTTACTGTGAAAACAGCTTCACCTGGGCACTCAGCTCTGCCCTTAAATGGAGTAGAGAACATTGTATCTCTCTTAACAACTATGTGAGATAGAAACTGCTAGGAGCTGGGACTCACAGATGAAGAAAACAGGCCCTCCTTTCCAGGAGGTCACATTCTGATGGGAGACTGATAGCACCTGCCTGAGGTGAGGTGGGCGGGGTAGAAGTAGGTGAGTTAGGAACTTGCCCGGCAGCTAACAGTAGTTGCAGTCTTGGCCTGCTGCTTACTTGCTGTTTGACTGGCCAAATCTCAGCTTCCTGTTTATGCCTCAGTAAAGGAGGTGGAGGGAGAGCTGACATTGAATAAACGACATCTTGGGTCCTTTCAGCACTAATTTTTCCAAAGTTCTTGAGCCTTCTCTGCTTCCTCGCTTGACTCACATCCCACTGTCTTTGTTATTTAAAAAGCCTATCACCAGCCCAAACGTCAACACTTCCTTCTCTGAAGCATTGCCTTCTCTGATTTCCTATCCTTAGATGTAGTGTTTTAGGTACTAGGCTTAGTTACACTTTTGAAACCTGATAGTTACTGAGTCTCCTATCTCCTTTATTAAGCCCTCACTTATACAGTGAATAACTGCATAGAATCTCACCACGTCTCCGACAGGGCTAAGCTGCAACAGCTGCAGTGATTTGGGTCACAGGATATCAGCTGGGGCAGAGCAGGAAACAAATGGTCCTTTACAGAGATGTGGGAGTCCACAAGACTCTGGGGCTAAAGCTCCTAGACCTGCGGAAGCAAAGGAAGGAGTGGACACCAAAAGTCAGCGCAGAAAGAGCCACGTAACCCGAGTCTGTGACCTTCAGTCAAGGGATGCAGTCAGCCTAAGGAATCTTCCAAGGAGAAAGCTGGAGGACTTCTAGCTCTTCAGCTCTCTCCTCGGTCTCCTGCTGCTATTCCCAGGGGTCAAGTCCAAGAAGTCAGAGGATAAGAGAGACTTTGATATCAAAGTGTATCTGGAGAGAGAAAAAGGAAAAATGCAAGCAGATGTGCGGATTTCTAAGATTTAGCCTGATCTGAGACAAAGCTGGAGGGTTTTGTTTTGAACTAATACCTGTACTAATGGACACCTGGATGAAACTGGATCACCTCTCCATCATCTACTTGGGCAGCAATTTTGGGAAAACAATCTTTTCCTGCACAGATTGTATCTATTAGGATGCTTTTGGCCATGAAGAGCAGAATACCTGACTAACAGTAACTTAAAGCATCAGGCCTTTTATTACATCATCAACATCAAGGTCAGCTGTGGTCAGGAGGTGCCGTTCGGCAGCAAAAGCACATCAATAGAGACCCAAGCTCTGTTTGTCCTCCACCTTCATACACTTCTTGGCTTTTTTTCTCCACACTTGTCATCTCTTGGTTGGATTGTGACTGTCATAGCTTCCAGATATCACATACTCAGAGGCCACCATGGCCCAGCAGAATCTCCCTTATTCACCTTATTGGCCAGAAATGGCCATCTGCCCACTGTAGACCAATCACTGACAAAGGGAAATGTGATTGCCACAGTTAATGGATCCTTAGTCATGCCCAAATAAAATAGGGGTGCTGTTGGAGAGGAGAAAGGGGGATAGCTGTTAAGGAGGCACCCAACAGTGTCTGCTACCTGTCTCCACCAAAAACAAGTTAAATCAACTGTTAGGCAGAAGCTGCAGTGATTAGGAACTGGCACTCTGGAGTGAGATTGTAAACTCCAGCTTTCCTACTTACAAGACTTGAGTAAATGATTTAGTTTTACCTAACCTTAGTTTTGTTATCCACAGGACCGGTGTGAACACAGTACTCACTGAAGTTGTGAGAACTGAATGTTTAAGCCAAGCAAGCACTTAACGTATGCTCTGGGACAAATCATTTTTTATCTGTATTAAATAGGAATATTGGTGACAAAGCTAAAAGCAGGACTAGTTACCCTTATCAGTCTGTAAGTATTAAATTGCCACCTAATTTGTTAAACTTGATTCAGTTTTTAAAATATCCAAGAAATAAGCTGCCCACCCCAGTCAACTACTTCTGATAGGATCCTAATCTGGAAATTGCTAAAAGTATTACATCATTAAAGAAGGCCCATTATAAACTTCTATCTCTAACATGGCACCTAACCAAATAACCAGATTTTGCCTGGATTTATTACTGCTTCCCTAACCTAACAGTTGGCTTAAAAGTGATGGTTTCCACTGGAGAATA